GTCGCCGCCGCCGGGCGCCGCGGGGTCGCTGTCCGCGGAGACGGCGGCCGCGATCGCGTCGAAGTTGAACGCGGGCGAGATCAAGGGCATCATCGCGCTGGACCAGCGCGCGAAGCGCCTCGACGGCGAGTGCGCCATGCTCAAGGCCGAGAAGGAGGACCTCAAGGCCGCGCTCGAGGGCGCCGAGGGCGTCAAGGACTTCCTCGGCGCGAAGTTGCGCGACGCCGAGGAGACGCTCAAGGCGGCCTTCGAGGCCGACGAGACGCAGCGGAGCCAGCGGCGCAGCGACCAGGAGGTCATCAACTTCCTCGACGCGCGCGTCCGCGACCTCGAGGCCGAGGCCGCGGGCCTCCGGGCGCGGCGGGATAGTGTGGAGGCGGATTTGAGTCGGGACCGCGACGCGGCCGTGAAGCAGCTCGCCCACGTCGTCGCGAGCCGCGACGCGGACCTGGACGAGCGCGACCGCGGCGACAAGGCGAACCGCGAGCAGAAGCGGCTCCTCGTGAAGGAGGTCAAGGCGCTCCGCGCGCAGCTCGCCGCGGTCCACCGCGCGGCCGCGCGGCGCGTCTAACGCTTCCCCGCTCCAATTAGGACGGCGCGCGCCGCAAGAACCACCTCACGCGTCGAACTGGCGGAAGACGGCGAACGCGGGGACGCGCTTCGCCGCGGCGAACGCGTCGAGCGCGTCGAAGAAGCCCGTGAGCTCGCGGCAGCACTCGAGCATCTGCTCGATGTCGTTGTCGTCGGCGATCTTGCAGCGCACGAGCTTGCGCGTGTCCGCCGCGAGCGCCGCGAGCCGCGCGGCCGCGTCCGCGGGGAGCCCGAGCTTCGCCTGTGCCGAATTCAACCACTGGTTTGGGTGGTCCTGACCAAACTTCAGAATTCTCTAGCTCGGTCAAATCGAAGTCGATTCGGCTGATTTTTGGACGAATCGATTGCTCTCGTCGAGTTCTCGAAGCAACGCCGAAGATGTTGCGTCGAAACTGTCGCGTGCGCTCACATTGAAGTCGAGTTGAAGATTTGAATTCGGCACAGAGCTTCGCGAGCTCGGCGTATTCCGCGACGTTCGACGCGTGGGCCTGTTCGAGCGTCGACGTCTCCTCGCCGTAGGGGAGGAGCATCTGGCTCAGCTTGCCCGTGCGCACGTTCATGCGCTTCGCGAGGACCTTGAGCTGGTTCACGTACTCCGCGCCGTCGCGCGCCTGGGCGGGGAAAGCGTGCGACGTTCCCAACTTTGGAGGCTCCTCTCTCGGTCATGTTCCGCTCGTTTCGGCTCATGTTTGGACGGGCGATGATCTCTCGGAGCGCCCTCGAAGCGTGGATCCTTTCTTTGGAACGATCGCGCGCGGCACACTCACGTCGCAGCGAACTCGAATCACCCTGTTCCCGCGCCGGTCGCGCGCGGCGAGCGCCGTCCGCGCGAGCGCGGCCGCGTCGGGGAGCTTCGGGTTCCGCAGGAGGTACGCGGCCGTGCCCCAGCGGTCCTCGAGGGCCTTGGCGTCGGACCCGAAGTCCGGCGGCGCCTCCGCGACGCCGCGCATCGTCGGCGCCGACGCCTCGGCCGGCGGCGCGGCCGCGTCGAACGAGGGGAAGCCGCCGAGGTCGTCGGGCGACGTCGGGGCCGACGCGGGGGGGCTCGAGCTCGACGCCTGGTCGCCGGCCTTGGACTTGGAGCTCCGCCGCTTCCCGCGCAGGCGCTCGAGCTTCGCGCGGCGCGCGGCCTCGGTGGCGCTCGGCGCGTCGTCGGACCCGGCCATGGGCGCACCCGGCGCGTCGCGCGTCGGTAGGCGCGCGCCGGTGTCGCCGACGGCGGCGCGGCCGGG